AGTGTGAAAAATATCCATGGAGTTTGGCCCTGAAACCAGCTCTGAATCCATCTGATGGTGTACATGTGAATTGCTTCACCTTCTCCTCAAAAAGGTGTCTGACGTTCTTTGTCAGAAACTTTGCCAACAGCAGTTTCCATAGCATTCTCCTCGTTAGCCAGGCTAGTCATCCTATCAAAAATGGCAGTGCAGGTGGTCTGGCAGGACCTCTTCTGGATGGTGCTTTACAATGAACTTACTTTGTGACCTGGGGCGAGTTCTAGAACAAGAGGGTATGAATAGGTGATTCCTAGCTCTGTTCTTCTTTACCCTTAGTAGCCTGGTTCCTAATTAGGGCTTCTGCCTGCAAGTCAGTCATACTCGTTGGTGTCTACTTACACAGCCTCTAGAAATTTTCATGGGCCTTCTTATCTGGCCTACTTAACTGTTAGACGATACCTCTTATTAGGTGCCCAAACTCAATTCTACTGACCTTTGAAATGGAAAAATAAGAATTCTCCTGGTAGAACTGATACATTTTAGACAAACCTGTGGAAAACAAAAGCATGATATAGCCTCATGACCAAAGTCTAGAAAGTTTAACTGAATGAATAGGTTTGTTGTTTTCCATGGTGTTAAATTACTTGATAACTCCTAACATTTTACTTTTTTTTCCTTCTCTAGTCTTTAAATTTGGGTTAAAGAGTTTGACTGGTTTTAGCCATTGACAGGAATCCCATCAGTTAGGGCACTCCCTCACAGACTGGTCCTTGTCATATATTGACTTGGAAAGAGCCTCCTCCCAAGAAAATTCAGTGGTGGCTCATTAGCACGTTGTCTGGGGGATGGGATTTATGGGCGAGAGGAAGCTTGTGTTCGGGTGGGGAGGAAATGAGGCAGTTTCTAGCAAACTATTCAGCATTTTGCCTGTTTGAAAAACACAGTTTCATCTGTCAGCTTTGTTACTGAAAACAAAAGGGAGGGTATGCTCTGGAAATTCTCAAAACTGTGAAATTGTTTGAGTGTAAGCTTGGTTGCCCGTTGGTGCTGTATACTTAGAATGGAATGAGAGGACGTGAGAGGAGTCTCAGTCATGAGCCGTCCTCAAGATAAGGGGGATGCACACAAACTAAGAAGGCCCCTTCTTTACTTCTCTTGGGGACTTTGGGGTTGACCATTTTTGATAGACTTCTTTAAGATCTGTGAAGCATCAGAGCCTAGTGCAGAGGTCCTCAAGTCTAGCCCTTGGACTGAATCCTAACCAGTTCAGTCAAAAGGATGCACTTAAGACCTAGAGGGTCACGTGTGGACTGGAAGCCACAGGTTCCCCACCCCTGGAGGCCCTGCAGGTTTGGAGCCACAGGGCCCGAGTTGGAATCCGTCCTCAGCTACTTACTAAGTTTGGGGTCTTCAGCTCTCTTGACCCCGCTTTCTTCCTCCTTAAAATGAAGAGCTCAGAGCAGCAGCTGGTCTGTCAGCAAGGAGCCTTCCTCTTAGGAGCCAGTGGCTTTATTGCTTTGGCTAAAAAGAATCCTCAGTGTTAGTGCTGTTTGCAAACATGGGTCATTTGTTATTGTGTAACGTAGCATTCAGCTGGTTTCCGTATTTATCATGGGGAATCTGAAAGCAGATTTTAATGGACTTCACGGAAATCCCTTGTGATACTGTTACTTTTTCTAGCCCGAGTCATGAATAGATTTCTAAAGTTCATTAAGCTTCTGGCTTTTAACAGTTTCAACATTTTGTTCATATAAACTCCAAGAAACAATTTTCTTTTTTGGTCATACATTTTATTTTGATACATCATACATCACATGGGGCAGCTGGGTGGTGCAGCATTTAGAGCAGTGGGCCAGGAGACGGGAGCATCTAAGTTCAAATATGGCCTCAACACTAGCTGTGTGATCCTGGGCAAATCATGTAACCTCAGTCTGCCTTAGTTTCCTCGTGTTTAAGATGAGGATAAAATTGGCACCTTCCGCTCAGGGTTCTTGTGAGAATCAAACGAGCTGGTGTGTAAAGCGCTTAGCATAGGGCCTGGTGCGTAGTAGGTACTATATAGATTTTAGTTATCAATATTCATCATTATTATTATTATCATTTTTCAACAACCCCCCCATCCCCCTCCCACAACACAGGCAGAAGAGATCAAGGCTGCTAGGAGCTGACCCCTCACGCTTCTGCAGCTTATTTACTATGTGGTAAAAGAATAGAAGGAAGGACTTAAAAGTGTTATTAGGTGATTAGTACTTCTCGATTGATTGATTTTTGAATCCAAAGACTTCTGAGGGAGCATGGACCTAGGGACTGCAGAGGGAAGAATGCTCCACACCAGGGAGATGCTGATAACTGTTAGTGGCCACACCAATTCTAACCAGCTTGGGCCGGGGGGGGGGGGGGGGCACGCCAGCAGGCATGCTGGGAGAGGCGGCAACTCCTGGCAGCCCGGAGGCTTCTCCAAGCTTGGCGTCTCTTTGTGCTGGGCCTTCGTCAAGGGTTTAGAAGCAGAGTAAGAGGAGAACAGTGACCCAAGAGTCAGAAGATCCAGATTCCAGAGTTTTGCCCCAGGCATCTGCCTGCTCTGAGCCTCATTTTACTCACCTTTAATAGGAAGACATTGGACAAGCTGGTTTTTAAGTTCCCTTCCAGCACTAGAATGCTATGGTTTGAAGAAGAGGAAGTTAGGTAAAAAAAGCAGAAATAGCTTAGGAAGGGAGCTGAGCCATGGGCCAACCCCTGGGCTGTTCTGGCTCCTTCCTCTATACAAAACCATCTTCCCCCAGTTACTCATTTTATTAATTTTATTTTTTTACTTCTTCTTTTGTATGCTGCCTGACATTCCACTAATGTGCTTAGACTTTAAAAAAAATCTTTCAAAGGGATCAAGCTTCCTCTAGGAAGACCCACAGGCTGTTATTCCGACATTAGGACAAAATTGTTCTATCAGAGTGATTTGTCTCGTGCTGAAATTCAAGGTGGAGGGGCCATGGCTAGGTTGTGGCTCATCTGGAAACATGTTTGGGGATTTCAGTGGACCGCAAGTTCACTGTCAGTCAGCAGCAGATCTAGAAGTGACATCAGGGTAGGCTGTGTTAAGAAAGGCCTCATGCCTAGTCCTTGATGGGGGGGGGTGATGGTCCCACTGTACCCTGCTGTGGTCAGGCCTGGTTCAGTTCTAGATGTCGTGTTTTTTTTTTTTTTGGAAAGATGTTGAGAAGCTTGAGAATGGTGACAGGATGGTGAAATCCTTTATACTTAGGCCTTTTGAGGATTGGTTCAAGCATGAGTTTAGCCCAGAGAAGGCAAGACTTATGGGGATGTAATAGCTATCTGGCTGAAAGACTCTCTTAAGGGAGAACTTGTTAACCTTGTTCTGCTGGGCCCTAGAAGTTAGAATTAGAAGCAAAGGATGGAACTTGCAAAAGGACAGATTGAAGCTCAAGATACAGAAACATTTCCTGGCCATTGGAGTTGTCCCAGAGTGGAACAAACCAGCCAAATGGGCTGGTCCAGGAGGGACAGAGACAGAGATACTGAGAGAGACGAAGATGGAGGCATATAGAGAGATAGAGAAATAATCTAAGTGTCTGTGCTGAGAGACAGAGAAATACACAAACACACACAAAAGAGAGAGATAGAGACACAGAGAGAGAAAAAAATAAACAGTCTAGGTATTTCTTTGTTGAGAGACGGAGGTAGAGACACATACACAAACACAGAGAGATACAGAGAGACAGACAGAAACACAGATATAGAGAGAGAAATAATCTCGATGTTTCTGTGCTGAGAGACAGAGATGCAGAGAAATACACAAACACACAAGAGAGAGACAGAGAGAGAGAGAGAAAGAAGGAGAAAGAGACAGAAAGAGTAAAACAGAGAGAGAAATAGTCCACATGTTTCTTTGCTAAGAGACAGTTCGCATTCCCTCTTCCTCGGCCTAAATTGGTGCTCTGATGTTATGTGTAGTATATATGCATCCTTGGAAAAATGGCTTCTCCTTCATCTGGAATATGTGACTGGAGTATCTTCAAAGTCCTTTCCGTTGTGATGAAAGGGGAAATTATAGGATCTTGGACCTAAGTTGGGAGAGACCTCAGAGGCCATGGAGTCAAATCCCTTCCTTTCAGAGATGAAGCCAATGGCAAGTGAAAGTGATTGGCCCAAGGTCTTACAGGTGGGAGGCCTCTGAAGGAGGATTGGCAACTGCTCAGCCTCCTTACGTTTAATTATTCTCTTAGACTCAGTTTTTGAATACAACATCTCACTACATACCTGTTTTGGGAAGAAGATTGTGCAACATATCTGAGTAGAAGCTGAATTTTTTAAAAAGATGTGGTTTTTAAAAGTGTAAAAAGTTTTTGAAGCTGTGGATTTAAAAAAAATACGAGGGGAGTTTGACAGAAGAATCATCTTTGAATTATGCTAGAAAGACAAAGATCTTGGGAGGCTCCAACTTGTTTATAGCTTTTAAGTTGGATGGATAGAGGAGAACTTAAAGGGAAAAAAAAAACTCTTCAAGGATAAACCCCAGTCGTTTTCTTCAAGACAGGTGGCGTGGCATAGTCAATGAAGAGCTGGCGGTGCATTCAAGTCCTGTCCACCCCACATCCTGATCGAGTGACCCTGGGCAAGTCACCTAATGTCTTGTGCCCTAAGGAGCTCTCTGAGGGGCTCACCTACATTGGCAAGGGGGAGTTTTCTCACCTTGAGGTCTCTGTATCAGTGGAATCACACATCTGGTATACCTTTTCCCCTTTAATATGGAAGTCTGTCAGAGTGGTGGTGGAAGCAGATAGAAACTACTGATTAATGATTAATCAGACATGCAAATAGCAAATCCAGGGAACCCGAGTTGTGGGCTGGGGGAGGAGAAAGCAAAACCTGCCAGGTCTTTGGGAAAAAGTGAGAATGAAAAAAAGGCCTCTAGGGTCATATTTTCTCTAAAGCTGGAGAGTCATAATTCGAAAATACTTCATTTTTTTTGGTCAAATGTACATTTGGAAATTGGCTTATGTGGGTAAATTTTAGACTGGTTTAAAATCGAGGACTTGCTGAATTGACTAGAAGTCTTTCTCCTTGGGCCAAGGTGACCTCTCATGTTTAGCCAAATGGAAACTTTCCTGCCAGCAGCATCATGTTCATTTTTCAATAGCCTACTGCTACCTGAGGCAGAATGTTGTTAAGGTAAGTAGTCAATAGTCAGTAAACATTTGTTAAGTGCCTGCTTTGTACCAGTCACTGTGCTAAGCACTGGGGATACAAATATGAAAAAAGAAAGCCATTCCATGACCTGAAGGAGCTTCCAGTCTAGTGGAGGAAGACAGCGTCCAAAAGTGGTGGCAAGGTTCCCATTGCGAGGGCATTCGAGAAGAGTGGTCAGGTGTGAAATGAGGAGACGAGGGAGCTGAGCTCCCTCCTTAAAGGGAGGTTTGGGAAGTCATGGCCTCACCCTCCAATCCGAGGGACAGAGGGTAGTGAGGAAATCAAGTAACTAAGGCTAATGTGATTTTATTTTTTATTTTTATTTTTTTGCCAGTTTTAGAATTATTTGTTGGAAATGTTAGGAAGATTTACCAAAATAAAAACAAAACAAACAAAAAACCTACATCCCTCAGTTCTCTTTTACAGTTTCAGAGAAAAGGTTGAAGAATGTGAATATTTGACATTTTTGTATAAAAACAGAAATAAGGAAAAAGATGCAAAAGCAACCAGAGGTCCAGACAAATCTGAGCAGATTTCATCTTGAGCTTCCTAGAGCACCGAAGTGAAGTCAGAGAGTGAAGCCTGAGAGGAAGGTGGCCAGGTGAGAGGTGAGGAGGAATGGAAAGAACTCTGGGCTGCTTGTAAGGAGATCTGGCTTCTCATCTATTCAAATGGAGAGATTGGCGTGGGAGATCTCAGGCCCCTTGCAGCTTTAAATTCTATGAAAGAATTATTTTTATAAAGAATTACTAATTAATAAGAGCTGCAGTTAAGAGTGTTATTAGTTGCAAATTACCAACACTAACCTAAGCAATTATTAATGAAACTTTAAGGTTTTTTTTTCCTTTGAAAGAGCTGGGCAGTAAAAACAAAGGTGTGGTTGAATTCTGCATTTTTCACTTGATGTCGAGTGTAATGTAGTTAACTGAAACTCTCCTAAATCAAAGGAAATAATATTGTAAAAAGTGCTTAGCACAGTGCCTGGCACACAGTAGGTGCTCCATAGATGCTTATTCCCTCCCCCCTTCCCTTGTATGTGTACTCAACTAGACAAGTGTAAAGGGGTAAAACCTGCTGTTTCCCCTCTCCTGAGCCTTCCATCCCTATCGTGGTCTTCGATCTCCTCTGCCCTTTGTAGTTCAACTCCTCAAAAAGCCCACATTAGGTGCCTCCACTCTGTCTCCTTTCACTCTCTTCTTTTCCGCTTCCAATCTGGCTTCCAGTTTTGTCATTCTGCCGGAGTCACTCTCTCCAGAATCAGCAGCGATCTCTTAGCTGCCAAATCCAGTGGTCTTTTCTCCACCCTCCTTCTCCTTGACCTCTCTTCAGTCTTTGACCCTGCTGATTCCCTCCTCCTCCTTGATACTCTTTTCTCTTTAGGTTTCTGGGGTGCCCAACCCTCACCCTGGTTTATTCCAGAAATTATATTTGAATTTGTTTTTCTTTGCTTTATGTTTTAGAGTCACTCTTTTTTTTCTGGGTTTGTGTCTTGGGCATCCTTGTACCATAATAGCTTTTGATAGAGGAGTCTTTTCTTTTTTTTAAACTCATTCTTTTAGTATTCCTTCCCAAATTGGAACATTTTGATAGGGTCAAGCCCTTCCCCTTTCTGCACCTGGTTCAAACCCTCGTCACCTCACACCCGTACTGTAGTTCTGCTGGTAGCCTGCTGGTTAAGCTCCTTGAGGCCCATCTCTCCCCACTCCCGGCCCTCCAAAGTCCACTTCATTTCATTGTGCCAGGTTGTCCTAAAGTGCATATTTGATCATGTCATCCCCTCCCTTCTCCCAAACTCTAGTGGCTCTATAAAATCTCCAGATTCAGATATACAAACTTCTCTTTGGCTTTTAAAGCCCTTCACAACCTGGTGCCCTTCTCCATTTCCAGGCTTCCGACCTCTTCCTCTGCCCCATATATTCTCCAGTTCAGTGACACCTGCCTCTTTGTCGTACCTCACACACAACATTCCATCTCTGGACTCTTCCAGGTCATTGGCTGTCCTCCTGGTCTGGAATGCTCTGCCTCCTCACCTCAACTGGCTTTCTAGCTTCCTTCAGACTCCTCTCCTGCTCCCTCCCAGTCCCTTCCCCTTGAAAACATCTTCCATTTACACAGAATAGTTCTTGTGTGTATGTGGTTAACCTGCATGACATCTCCCCGTCAGAGTGCGAGCTCCTTGAGGGCAGGACTTTTCCTTTGGCTTTCTTCTATCCCTAGTCCATAGCATAGTGCCTGGTCAATAGTAAGCTCTTAAATATTGTTGACCGACTGATGGATTTTTTTTCAGCTCTGACCCACAAGCTGTCATGTTGCAGAACTTTGAAATAGAGGAAAAAGAAATAAAATTAAGTTGCTGTTCTGCATATACTATTGTAGTTGACATTGAAACTGTGCTTTAAAGATCACAAAGCATTTTCTATGCATTATCTTATTTGGATCTCATGAAAACACTGCAAGGCAGGCAATACAGCTGCATATCATTATTTTCATTTTAGAGATAAGGAAAATGAAACTCAGAGATGTTAAATGATTTTGCTGTGGGCACTCAGCTTCTAGGAGCTGCAGTGTGGGATCTCAAGTTGGGAACAGAATCTGAGGACAGGCCACTTTTGCCTCCAGGCCAACACTTACATGCCGACTCCCCCCAGTACTGCTTTTCAAGGTAATTGGTTCTAAAGATGCTTTGGGTTTTAAAGCATAGTTTAGCCATTACATATTATTAATGCTATTCAGAGAGGCAGATAAGGGGATCGTAGATATAGGGTTGAAAGAAAACTTGAAAGTCATTGATGCCAGTTGTCTCATTTTACAAATGAGGAGCTCAGTTCCCAGAAACCTTATTTGACACGCTCATTGTCACACAATGTAAGTGACATAGCTAGCATTGGATGGAGGCCCTCTGACTCTTTCCATTTTGCCCACCCACTATTAACCAAATGGCTTATACCAAATTTATATGTCCTTGCTATTATTAACATCGCTTCCTATTCCATTTGTAAGATATTTTTAATTTTATGTAGGTAAATAGTAGCAGGTGAGGTCATCAGACTACAAGGTTTTCAATCTTCTCAGAATTCTGCTTATCTGCTTAAAGATTTTTTGTCAGTCTCTCTGGTCACTTCCTCTTTGTTAATTGGTGTCCCTCCTCAGCATCTCTTCTCCATTAGAGTTGTGTTTTGAATGTCACATGTCTACATAGATGACACAAGGAAGTATATAACACTGAAGGAAACAGAACATTCATTCTCTTAAGTCCCAGCTCTATAATGGCTAGGTATTTGTCTTTTTTTTTTTTTGTAATTTAAGTGTTTTGATTTATTTACAAGCATTTCCATAACAAAATGAAATAGAAAAACGGAGGGTTGCGCTTGAAATTACAAATCCATTGTGTACATCTTGCTATCCTTTCAAATATACAATAATATTATCATGTAACTTTTTTTCCTACCCCACCCCGCCCACTTCAAGACAGCTACCATTAGACACAAATGTGTGTGTGTGTGTGTGTGTTTTGTGTGTGTTCTTTTTCTGGATGCAAACAACATCTTCCTTCATAGGATCTTTGCAATTAATTTGGGTATTTATAATAGAATCATTTGGTTGCTCAAAGTTATTCTTAAAACAATACTGCTGTTACTATATACAGTGTTCTCTTGGTTCTGCTCATTTCATTCTGAGAGGTCTTGCGATTAGTTATAAAGTGGAGGTCTCTCCACTCTTTTCCAAAGTCATTGAGCTCGTCATTTCTTATGGCAGAGTAATATTTCATCAGGAACATATACCACAGTTTGTTTAGCCATTCCTCAGTTGATGAGCATCCTTGCAATTTCCAGTTCTTTACCACCACAAAGAGAGCTGCTATAAATATTTTAGAACAGGTAGGTTGTTTTTCTTTTTCCTTAATCTTCTTGGGAAGCAGACCTAATAGTGGTGTTGCTGGGTCAAAGGGTATAGGCATTTTAATAACTCTTTGGGCATATTCCAGATCTCTCTCCAAAATGGTTGAATCAGCTCACAAATCCACCAACAGTGAATTAAAGTCCCAATTTTTCCACATTCCCTCCAACATTTGTCACTTTCCTGTCACATTCTGATAGGTGTAAAATGATATCTCAAGGTTGTTTTCATTTGCATTTCTCTAATCAATAATGATTTGGAGCATTTTTTCATATGATTATAAATTGTCTTGATTTCTTCATTGGAAAACTGCCTGTTCATATCCTTTGATCATTTATCACTTGGGGAATGACTCAAATTCTTATAGATGTGACAGAGTTCTTTATATACTTGAGATATGAGACCTTCCTTTATCTGAGGAATTGTTATGAATTTTTTCCCCCAGTTTTCTTCTTTCCTTCTGGTCTTGGCTACATTTATTTTATTTGTACAAAATCTTTTTAATTTAATGTAATCAAAATTATCCATTTTATATTTCATAATGTCCTTTATCTCTTGTTTGGTTCTAAATTCTTCCCTTCTCCATAGATCTGACGGGTAAATTATCTCTTGCTTTCCTAATTTGCTTATGGGATCACGTATTGTGTCTAAATCACGTACCCATTTCGACCTTATCTTGGTGTAGGGTGTGAGGTGTTGGACTATGCCTGATTATTAACTTCTTAACTGAGTTGTTAACTACTCTGAAGGTTAGGAATCACAGTCAATTCAGGAGCAGCTAATGGAGCATCAGTCAGAAACTAAGATAAATCAGCTCTGAAATTGTGAATTGCAATTAATGGGAAACATGTGGATTACTATGTGTTGGCAGCATATCTACTATGCAAGATACCTTGGAATAGTACCTATGTGTGCCTAGAACCATAGAGTGTTAGAACTAGGAACATAGAAGAACATGGAATGCCATACCTAGAAGGGACCTCAGAATATAGAATGTTTGAGTTGGAAGGTACCTTAGGTATCATCTGCTCTAGTGGGTCTCATTTTACTGATGAGAAACTGGGAATCTGAGAGGTCATGCGATTAGTTATAAAGTTGAAGCTAGATCTTGAGTAGCTCAACGACTTCCAACTCTAAAAACAAGCTAATAATGCTAGAAAAAAAAGTCAGGAATCATTGAATTGGATTAGCTCAGTGCACTATATTAGGAACCTAATGTGGCTCATGCATATTGTGACTTTTACTGGCAGAATTTAAACCAGCCTATTTAGTACCATTTTAAATGGGAGGCGGATTGTGAGATGTTATAGAAAAAGACAGTAATTCAAATCCAATTTAGTTTTATTGGTCTGTTGTCTGTCCTCCTTTGAATGTGGATTGTTTCATACTGAACTGTTAATAGAATGCAAATTACATACAAGATTTGCCTGGAACAGACTGGGACAAACAAAGAGGCCTTGGAAAGAATTGACTCTGGACTGTGTGAATTCATTTCAGAAAAGCCTTAGAATCTGTCTGGTTTAGTGTGGCAATTTTTATCTGATTTTGAAGTTTTCATTGAGATTGGGAAGAAGGCAGCAGCTCCTTTGGGGGCTGTTTTATTGTGTGGTGAGATATGTGGACAGTATTCAGTTACTGTATGTCTGGAAAATACAAATTTCAGGGTAGATGATCGAAGCATGCCATGACTCATTAATGAGCTGAAGACTGT